GGTGCAGTGTAACCTTATGTATACATCAGTCATACATAAACAAGGTGTAGTGAAACCTTATGTATACATCAGTCATACATAAACAAGGTGCGGTGTAACCTTATGTATACATCAGTCATACATAAACAAGGTGCAATGTATACATCAGTCATACATAAACAAGGTGCAGTGTATACATCAGTCATACATAAGCAAGGTGCAGTGTATACATCAGTCATACATAAACAAGGTGCAGTGTATACATCAGTCATACAAAAACAAGGTGCAGTGTAACCTTATGGATACATCAGTCATACATAAACTAGGTGCGGTGTAACCTTACGTATACATCAGTCATACATAAAAAAGGTGCGGTATAACCTTGTGTATACATCAGTCATACATCAACAAAGTGCAGTGTAACCTTATGTATACATCAGTCATACATAAACAAGGTTCGGTGTAACCTTATGTATACATCAGTCATACACAAACAAGGTGCAATGTATACATCAGTCATACATAAACAAGGTGCAGTGTAACCTTATGTATACATCAGTCATACATAAACAAGGTGTAGTGAAACCTTATGTATACATCAGTCATACATAAACAAGGTGTAGTAAAACCTTATGTATACATCAGTCATAAATAAACAAGGTGCGGTGTAAACTTATGTATACATCAGTCATACATAAACAAGGTGCAATGTATACATCAGTCATACATAAACAAGGTGCAGTGTAACCTTATTTATTCATCAGTCATACATAAACAAGATGCAGTGAAACCTTATGTATACATCAGTCATACATAAACAAGGTGCAGTGTATACATCAGTCATACATAAACAAAGTGCAGTGTATACATTAGTCATACATAAACAAGGTGCAGTGTATACATCAGTCATACATAGACTAGGTGCAGTGTATACATTAGTCATACATAAACTAGGTGCGGTGTAACCTTATGTATACATCAGTCATTCATAAAAAAGGTGCGGTATAACATTGTGTATACATCAGTCATACATAAACAAGGTGCATTGAAACCTTATGTATACATCAGCCATACATAAACAATGTGCATTGAAACCTTATGTATACATCAGTCATACATAAACAAGGTGCAGTGTATACATCAGTCGTACATAAACAAGTTGCATTGAAACCTTATGTATACATCAGTCATACATAAGCAAGGTGTAATGAAACCTTATGTATACATCAATCATACATAAACAAGGTGCGGTGTAACCTTATGTATACATCAGTCATACATAAACAAGGTGCAATGTATACATCAGTCATACATAAACAAGGTGCAGTGTATACATCAGTCATACATAAACAAGGTGCAGTGTATACATCAGTCATACATCAACAAGGTGCAGTGTAACCTTATGTATACATCAGTTATACATAAACTAAGTGCGGTGTAACCTTATGTAAACATCAGTCATACATAAAAAAGGTGCGGTATAACCTTGTGTATACATCAGTCATACATAGACAAGGTCCAAGGTAACCTTATGTATACATCAGTCATACATAAATAAGGTGCGGTGTAACTTTATGTATACATCAGTCATACATAAACAAGGTGCAGTGTATACATCAGTCATACATAAACAAGGTGCATTAAAACCTTATGTATAGATCAGTCATACATAAACAAGGTGCAGTGAAACCTTATGTATACATCAGTCATACATAAACAAGGTGCGGTGTATACATCAGTCATACATAAACAAGGTGCGTTGTAACCTGATGTATACATCAGTCATACATAAACTAGGTGCGGTAAAACCTTATGTAAACATCAGTCATACATAAAAAAGGTGCGCTATACCCTTGTGTATACATCAGTCATACATAGACCAGGTCCAAGGTAACCTTATGTATACATCAGTCATTCATAAATAAGGTGCGGTGTAACTTTATATATACATCAGTCATACATAAACAAGGTGCGGTGTAACCTGATGTATACATCAGTCATACATAAACTAGGTGCGGTAAAACCTTATGTAAACATCAGTCATACATAAAAAAGGTGCGCTATACCCTTGTGTATACATCAATCATACATAGACAAGGTCCAAGGTAACCTTATGTATACATCAGTCATTCATAAATAAGGTGCGGTGTAACTTTATATATACATCAGTCATACATAAACAAGGTGCAGTGTATACATCAGTCATACATAAACAAGGTGCGGTGTATACATCAGTCATGCATAAACAAGGTGCGGTTAAGTCCTTCTTTAGAGGTATTGCCATTTGTTAAAATTGTGTGTCATGAGCATAGCTTTGTTTGCATTAGAACTAAAGATCATGAAACTTGGTGTATACATTGATCTTACTAAGACAATGTGTAGACCAAATTCAGGGGCCTGCAACCCTTTTAATAACATGACTTTTGGCATTTTTTAAAAAGATTTTGTGTCCAACAGAATTTTTATTATTTTTTTATTTTTTATTTTTTGCGCAGCGCGGCCAATTCAAAAAGCGGCGTTCATCAAGTCTCTCGTCAAAATATCGGGTGGTCATCTTAAGAGTTTGACGGTTGAAATTAGTTTTTGCATTTCGCAAGCTTAATGAGAATAATTTCCTTTCTGTCCCCTGTCCCTAGTTGTGCTCATTCAGTTTTGAGTTAAATCAGTGAAACAAAATGACTGACAGACTGCTATCTTGGATTTTGTCAGTTGAGGATCGTTGTTGCTATTTCATGAACAGTACTTGAATTTTCCCAAACATGATATGCATATTTCAGTTTTGAGTCCGATCAGTGTAACAAAATGGCCGACATGCGGCCGTCTTGGATTTTGATGGTTGAAGTTTATTATCACTATTTCTTGGAAAAAAACTGGAGGGATATTCTTGAAACATAAATGAAACATTATATTCCATGCGCACAGGCTACTGTACGTATACCGGATATGTTTGAAATGGCATTACCTATGAACACAGTGTAAAGAACATACAGGTCTATCGGTGATAAACTGTGGTTATCACGCTTAATTACGGGGAGTACCATACATAGAAAGATATCTGTCATTCTGGAGTTAAAAACTATACAACATGTGTAACCCAGATCGATGCCAATTAAGGTTGAGATCTTTCCTATCTCACACTCTACAGTGTGAGGCTTATCTCTTACTTGGAACATGGACTCCATTGTTAACGATATAGAACTCATTTTTTGAAAGTAAAAAAACAGTTCCACAAATTTTGCTTTAGACAGTAGGTTTACATCCACCATTGTGTAATTAACCATTGTCCAAACAAATCAACGTTTTTCATCACATATGACATATCCACAGGTGTGTTACCTTTAGTGGTGTTAGTGCGATGTGCACAGAGCGTGCATTTGGTCCTCTTGTTTCACTTCTGTGAATGTATTTTCACTGTGTCCTCTTACAGTGAAGCAGGACTTTTCCTTCTAATGTCTAAATTTTCCGACTAATAGATTTGAAAAATTATGTGATTTTGAAACACTAATTCAGAAGTGGGACATTTAAACTTGTCTTGTTACAAGGAACACACATGGCAAATATGATACCCATACTTATTATAATGCAATAGACCAATTTTAAACTTTTTCAAATATATGTCAAAGGTCACGGTCAAGGTCATATGGTCAATCGTACCACCGTAAAGGTCTTGTCAAAAAAGCACACATGCCAAATATGAAAGCCCTTCCTCTTACAGCGCAAAAGTTAACGTCAAACAAACAGGCAGCATAGACACACTATTCCCCTATCTTTCGATGTGTGGGCATAATGATATGAACATCGTTTTAAGTGATGTTTTTATCATTGCAACAACAAATTTTCTACGAAACAACAAGATAGGATGTGGTCTAAATGTGGCAAAAGCGCTTATTTCTGTTGAAATATGTTCTTAAATCAAATGAAATCCAGAAATATGTTACTATGATAAGCTCAGTTACGTAGAATGACGAAAAGAAGGATTTTCTACAGAGTATGATATTCTGAGAAACAAGACTACCTGCCATTGGAATGTATACGTGTGGGCCGATGGGAAATTTATGTCACCCCCAACGCATGAAATTCATAAAAGTGCACTTAATATATAACCAACGTGTATTTAGGATCACGAGTAAGTTCCATAATCGTCTGTTTTGTGGCAAAAACCGCAACACTAGAGCGCTTACACTTGCGTGTCTGACGCTGACCCTTGTAGACAAGTTAGTCTTCCAAGCCTCAAACAAAGGCGGGTATTTTTAGAAAATGTCTTCCTTCTCAAATATGTAAAAAGTGTTTTTGACTGCCCCTACTTAATCAAACAAATGTGTTTTTCAGTTCTGGTCGTGATCTGCGGTCAGTTAGTTTTATTCAGTTTTTACTTACAGAAAAGTCGAATAAACGTTAGAAAGTACAGTGTTTTAAAAAGGATTCAATATAATTTCAAGTCTCTTGATTTTACACAAGGCTGTGGTATGTTTGTTTACCCCTGGCAGAGTTTTTATCACTTATTCCATCTGAATTACCCATGAGTATGTTTTAGTCTGTGTTACATACATAACTGACTGTGACATATTGATGTTGTATTGTTGAACCCAATGGGTCTGTACAACTGGAAATGGATACATCACGTTCACCATGAATACGAGAATTATGTACTTTTCTTGGAAAATATGGACACTGTCATCTTGTGAATAATGTGAAAATGCATGTATACACGTGTATGACTTTCTTGGTGCATTTTGTATCAGCACAATACACACTTCTCTGAGATAAATCAAAGTGACTTTCACTTTGGTATTCATTAATTATGTTTTTGTTGGGAGTCTGAAGTTCGTTCCCAGTTCCAATTTTCTGAATCGTGGTTATAAGGATCGGAAAATACAACGGACTGAGATGTCACGTCAAATTCACGTCTTATAAGAATATAGTTTCTTGACTTGTATTACAGTGTATATGTGTCATATTTTTGAATGAAAATCCTTATCTGTTTTAGCTTTACTTATTGGCAAAGAGGTAGGAACCTAGATATGGCAACAGAGAGTTATGACATTCCTGTCCTTAAAAATCACTTGATGTATCATGCCTTCATTACGCACTGTGAAAATGACCTCGGGTTTGCCAAGGACCTATTGGAAAAGATTGAGCAACATCACTTCCGGTGTATTTTTGCCAAGCGAGATTTCGACGTAGGTGCAGCCGTGGTGGACAACATAGCTAGCGCGATCCACAGGTAACGGTTCTTGTACCAGTCATCTGCCAAATTCTCGGGTATGCGCCTTTGGAATTTGTATCATACAGTATAAAAAGTATGTCTTACATATTGTTTCATTTACTTCCGGTCATCTATATTTCTTCAACTTTCTTCCGGTCATATATATTGTTACACTTACTTCCGGTCATATATATTGTTACTCTTACTTCCGGTCATATATATTGTTACTCTTACTTCCGGTCGTATATATAGTTACACTTTCGGTCATTTATATTGCTTCATGTGATTCCTTTGCCTATTGTTTATCTACGTTTATCACGTGACTTTTACAGATTTTGCTTTATCATATATGTTTTAAAAATAAGCACGGGTTTGATTAGTCCTTGTTTCTATTGAACTTGAGTTGGGGTTTATGTTGACACTTTGATATTTCCGTATTATCTAATTTATTATGTTTTCTTTAGTTATGAATTAACATATAAATTATGTTTTCTTTAGTTATGAATTAACATATAAATTATGTTTTCACATTTTTCATTTACTCAGCAAAAACATGTTCGTTAGAGTTTTTGAAAATCTCTGTATTGCTTTAATCTGTGAGAAGTAAGTTTTGCTAACGCTTTTATCTGTGTATTTTGTGCAGATCTAGGCGGACAGTGCTGGTGATATCTAAAACATCTCTTCAGAGTCAGTGGTGTAAATACGAGATGTTGGCGGCCATTGACGATACAAATCGACATAATCGTATTTCTTTCATTCCCGTCCTTCGTGATGACGTCAGTGATGACGATCTACCACATCCCCTCCGTTTTGTCACCTATATCCACACTGGACGGGACTCTGATTTCCTCCACAAACTGTTAAAGGCGCTAGCAGGTAACACTCACGTGTTGTGTTTTATGCCAGTATGATTGTTACACGAACACGTCGGCTATGATTCGGGTTGGACGTGTGATTCAGTACAATATGAATTTCAGCATAATATTTTTTTTTTTTTTTAATTTTTATAAACTTTGTCATATATGGTTTTATTTATTTGTAAGATGGGGTATATTTCTGTAAGTTTTTGGTTTATATCTTATTTTGTGACAGCGTTGTTTACGTCCTAATTCATAGTGTCAACAATATCATATCCCATTGCTGTGTGTGCCGAGACAGACGGAGTGCCACGGATAACATACATTATCGTATCATTAAGCTTATAACTCATATAATATGTAGAGGACATATATATGTACATACGATTCAGGAAATATTTTGAAATCTCTTGGTATTTCAGCCCCAGACGAAGACTGGGAGGACCACATACCTGTCGGAAATCTGGTCCATGGTCTTGCCTGGAATTATTACTTTGGTTATCTGAAGTTCCTGTTACCGGGTAGTCAAATTAATAAGTACACACTGTCCGCTGTTTAATTTTTGTGTTTGCTTGTTTTTTGTTTCGTTTTTATTTTCATTTTATATATAATTCAATAACTGAGGCCTTACGTATTTCATATCGCTGACATACACAATTTACGACCGTCTTGTTCTACAAATGAACACTACCTCCTATATTCCTATAACCAAACTTCTGTCTGTAGTAATCTCTACCACCCTGCCAGCTGGAACGTGTTTGGTAAAGTCTTCTACACCCTATTTTCCCTGTTACAACTTCCTGTCCATATTTCATCCATCATAGAGGTCTTTTTCTTGGCTCTACCCAAATTCAAACCATTTACCTAAATACTCAAGCCTTTACGAGACATTGAAAGAATAGAGTTATCTCCCTTTTGAAATACCTCTTTGGGTCCAGTTTCTGTAACATAAATGTGTCCCTAGTAGCATTGATTTGCGTTAAAGAAACATTTAGGATCACTTTATCTCTGTAATATTTTGAGGTGGAAATTAAAAAGTGTGAAGGAACATTTGTGGAGTCTGTATAAGCTCAGTCTATTTTTTTAGGTATGAACAAGCGTATAGCTGAGTGTAAATACTTAAAGGCTGATTACATGAACGGACAGATCTGCAGCAAGGTTTTACTGCTGTTCCCGGCCAGTTGTCAGTGTCGACTGAGACGCCTTGACGAGGATCCCTCCGGCCGTATTACGTACAGAGGGGAGATAGAGTTACTCCGCGACAGTGCCGGAGTGGTCGGCAGGGTCTACAAAAACACAGTTTACAGTGTGGTCAGCAAAGAAGGACGGGTATTTCACCTAAATATATTGTTAACTGAAATCAGACTCAATTGGAATTGCGAAAGTGTAGAGTATGTGGAGTGTAGAGAGATGTGGAGTGTAGAGATGTGGAGTGTAGAGATGTGGAGTGTAGAGATGTGGAGTGCAGAGGATGTGGAGTGTAGACGATGTGGAGTGTAGAGAGTGTGGAGTGTAGTGTAGAGATGTGGAGTGTAGAGTGTAGAGAGTAGATGTGGAGTGTAGAGTATGTGGAGTGTAGAGGATGTGGAGTGTAGAGATTGTGGAGTGTAGAGGATGTGGAGTGTAGAGTATGTGGAGTGTAGAGTATGTGGAGTGTAGAGTATGTGGGGTGTAGAGTATGTGGAGTGTAGAGATTGTGTAGTGTAGAGTTTGGAGTGTAGAGGATATGGAGTGTAGAGAATGTGGAGTGTAGAGATTGTGAGTGTAGAGATTGTGGAGTGTAGAGATGTGGAGTGTAGAGAGATGTGTAGAGATGTGTAGAGTATGTGGAGTGTAGAGTATGTGGAGTGTAGAGGATGTGGAGTGTAGAGATTGTGGAGTGTAGAGTATGTGGAGTGTAGAGTATGTGGAGTGTAGAGATTGTAGAGTGTAAAGATTGTGGAGTGTAGAGTTTGTTGAGTGTAGAGATTGTGGATTGTAGAGATTGTGGAGTTGAGAGTATGTGGAGTGTAGAGTATGTGGAGTGTAGAGATTGTGGAGTGTAGAGTTTGGAGAGGTGAGGATGTGGAGTGTAGAGATTGTGGAGTGTAGAACTATGTGGAGTGTAGAGGGTGTGGAGTGTAGAGGATGTGGAGTGTAGAGATTGTGGAGTGTAGAGTATGTGGAGTGTAGAGAATACGGAGTGTAGAGGATGTGGAGTGTAGAGATTATGAAGTGTAGAGTTTGGAGTGTAGAGGATGTGGAGTGTAGAGATTGTGGAGTGTAGAGGATGTGGAGTGTAGAGTATGTGGAGTGTAGAGATTGTGGAGTATAAAGATTGCGGAGTGTAGAGTGTGTTGAGTGTAGAGATTCTGGAGTGTAGAGTATGTGGAGTGTAGAGTATGTGGAGTGTAGAGATTGTGGAGTGTAGGGTATGTGGAGTTTAGAGTATGTGGATTGTAGAGATCGTGGAGTGTAGAGTGTAGAGATTGTGGAGTGTAGAGAATGTGGAGTGTAGAGATTGTGGAGTGTAGAGGATGTGGAGTGTAAAGGAAGTGGCGAAAAGAGGATATGGAGTGTAAAGATTGTGGAGTGTAGAGTATGTGGAGTGTAGAGTATGTGGAGTGTAGAGATTGTGGAGTGTAGAGTATGTGGAGTGTAGAGATTGTGGAGTGTAGAGATTGTGGAGTGTAGAGATTGTGGAGTGTAGAGTATGTGGAGTGTAGAGATGTGTAGAGATTGTGGAGTGTATTGTGGAGTGTAGATTGTGGAGTGTAGAGATTGTGGAGTGTAGAGATGTGGAGTGTAGAGATGTGGAGTAGAGATTGTGGAGTGTAGAGATATGTGGAGTGTAGAGATATGTGGAGTGTAGAGATTGTGTAGAGAGAGTGTAGAGGATGTGAGTGTAGAGATGTGTAGAGAAGTGTAGAGATTGTGGAGTGTAGAGATTGTGGAGTGTAGAGTATGTGGAGTGTAGAGTATGTGGAGTGTAGAGATTGTGGAGTGTACAGTATGTGGAGTGTAGAGATTGTAGAGTGTAAAGATTGTGGAGTGTAGAGTGTGTTGAGTGTAGAGATTGTGGAGTGTAGAGATTGTGGAGTGTAGAGTATGTGGAGTGTAGAGATTGTGGAGTGTAGAGATTGTGGAGTGTAGAGTTTGGAGTGGAGAGGCTGTGGAGTGTAGAGATTGTGGGGTGTAGAGATTGTGGAGCGTAGAGGATGCCGAGTGTAGAGTATGTGGAGTGTAGAGATTGTGGAGTGTAGAGATTGTGGAGTGTAGAGTATGTGGAGTGTAGAGATTGTGGAGTGTAGAGTATGTGGAGTGTAGAGGATGTGGATTTTACAGATTGTGGAGTGTAGAGATTGTGGAGTGTAGAGATTGTGGAGTGTAGAGATTGTGGAGTGTAGAGATTGTGGGGTGTAGAGATTGTGGAGTGTAGAGGATGTGGATTGTACAGATTGTGGAGTGTACAGATTGTGGAGTGTAGAGTATATGGAGTGTACAGATTGTGAAGTGTGGAATTTGTGGAGTATAGAGATTGTAGAGTGTAGAGATTGTGGAGTGTAGAGGATAGGGTGATTACAGTGGAGTGTAGAGTTTGGAGTGTAGAGGATGTTGAGTGTAGAGATTGTGGAGTGTAGAGATTGTGAAGTGTAGATTATGTGGAGTGTAGAGGTTGCTGAGTGTAGAGGATGTGGAGTGTAGAGGATGTGGAGTGTAGAGATTGTGGAGTGTAGAGTATGTGGAGTGTAGAGATTGTGGAGTGTAGAATATGTGGAGTGTAGAGATTGTGGAGTGTAGAGATTGTGGAGTGTAGAGTATGTGGAGTGTAGAGATTGTGGAGTGTAGAGATTGTGGAGTGTAGAGATTGTGGAGTGTAGAGATTGTGGAGTGTAGAGATTGTGGAGTGTAGAGATTGTGGAGTGTAGAGTATGTGGAGTGTAGAGTATGTGGAGTGTAGAGATTGTGGAGTGTAGAGATTGTGGAGTGTAGAGTATGTGGAGTGTAGAGATTGTGGAGTGTAGAGATTGTGGAGTGTAGAGAATATGGAGTGTAGAGATTGTGGAATGTAGAGATTGTGGAGTATAGATTATGTGGAGTGTAGAGATTGTGGAGTGTAGAGATTGTGGAGTGTAGAGATTGGAGTGTAGAGGATGTGGGGTATTGAGATTGTAGAGTGTAGAGATTGTGGAGTGTAGAGTATGTGGAGTGTAGAGATTGTGGAGTGTAGAGATTGTGGAGTGTAGAGATTGTGGAGTGTTTAGTGTAGAGATTGTGGAGTGTAGAGATTGTGGAGTGTAGAGAATGTGGAGTGTATAGATTGTGGAGTGTAGAGATTGTGGAGTGTAGAGATTGTGGAGTGTAGAGATTGTGGAGTGTAGAGTATGTGGAGTGTAGAGATTGTGGAGTGTAGAGATTGTGGAGTGTAGAGTATGTGGAGTGTAGAGATTGTGGAGTGTAGAGATTGTGGAGTGTAGAGTATGTGGAGTGTAGAGATTGTGGAGTGTAGAGATTGTGGAGTGTAGAGTGTGTGGAGTGTAGAAATTGTGGAGTGTAGAGGATGTTGAGTGTAGAGGATGTGGAATGTAGAGATTGTGGAGTGTAGAGATTGTGGAGTGTAGAGTATGTGGAGTGTAGAGATTGTAGAGTGTAAAGATTGTAGAGTGTAGAGATTGTGGAGTGTAGAGATTGTGGAGTGTAGAGATTGTGGAGTGTAGAGATTGTGGAGTGTAGAGATTGTGGAGTGTAGAGTTTGGAGTGTAGAGGATGTGGAGTGTAGAGATTGTGGAGTGTAGAGATGTGTGTAGAGTGGAGTGTAGAGATTGTGGAGTGTAGAGATTGTAGAGTGTAGAGATTGTAGAGTGTAGAGATTGTGGAGTGTAGAGATTGTGGAGTGTAGAGATTGTGGAGTGTAGAGATTGTACAGTATAGAGGATGTTGAGTGTAGAGGATGTGGAGTGTAGAGATTGTGGAGTGTAGAGTATGTGGAGTGTAGAGATTGTGGAGTGTAGAGATTGTGGAGTGTAGAGATTGTGGAGTGTAGAGGATGTGGAGTGTAGAGATTGTGGAGTGTAGAGTATGTGGAGTGTTGAGATTGTGGAGTGAAGAATATGTGGAGTGTAGAGATTGTGGAGTGTAGAGTATGTGGAGTGTAGAGATTGTGGAGTGTAGAGATTGTGGAGTGTAGAGATTGTGGATTGTAGAGTATGTGGAGTGTAAAGATTGTGGAGTGTGGAGTATGTGGAGTATAGAGATTGTGGAGTGTAGAGATTGTGGAGTGTAGAGTATGTGGAGTGTAGAGATTGTGGAGTGTAGAGATTGTGGAGTGTAGAGGTTGTGGAGTGTAGAGATTGTGGAGTGTAGAGGATAAGGAGTGTAGAGATTGTGGAGTGTAGAGATTGTGGAGTGTAGAGGATGTGGAGTGTAGATTGTGGAGTGTAGAGATTGTGGAGTGTAGAGATTGTGGAGTGTAGAGATTGTTGAGAGTAGAGATTGTGGGGTGTAGAGATTGTGGAGTGTAGAATATGTGAAGTGTATAGTATGTGGAGTGTAGAGATTGTGGAGTGTAGAGATTGTGGAGTGTAGAGTATGTGGAGTGTAGAGATTGTGGAGTGTGGAGTATGTGGAGTGTAGAGATTGTGGAGTGTAGAGGATGTGGAGTAGAGATGTGGAGTGTAGAGATTGTGGAGTGTAGAGATTGTGGAGTGTAGAGATGTGGAGTGTAGAGATTGTGGAGTGTAGAGATTATGGAGTGTAGAGTATGTGGAGTGTAGAGTATGTGGAGTGTAGAGGATGTTGATTGTAGAGATTGTGGAGTGTAGAGATTGTGGATTGTAGAGTATGTGGAGTGTAAAGATTGTGGAGTGTGGAGTAGGTGGAGTATAGAGATTGTGGAGTGTAGAGATTGTGGAGTGTAAAGATTGTGGAGTGTAGAGATTGTGGAGTGTAGAGATTGTGGAGTGTAGAGATTGTGGAGTGTAGAGAGTGTAGAGATATAGATATGTGGAGTGTAGAGATTGTGGAGTGTAGAATATGTGGAGTGTAGAGATTGTGGAGTGTAGAGATTGTGGAGTGTAGAGTATGTGGAGTGTAGAGATTGTGGAGTGTAGAGATTGTGGAGTGTAGAGTATGTGGAGTGTAGAGTGTAGAGATTGTGGAGTGTAGAGATTGTGGAGTGTAGAGATTGTGGAGTGTAGAGTATGTGGAGTGTAGAGATTGTAGAGTGTAGAGATTGTAGAGTGTAGTGTATGTGGAGTGTAGAGGATATGGAGTGTAGAGAATGTGGAGTGTAGAGATTGTGGAGTGTAGAGTATGTGGAGTGTAGAGGATGAGGAGTGTAGAGATTGTGG